CTTGGTCCGTCTTTGTGTCCTTGGAAAAGACACTTTGCACTACTGAATGTTCCTCTCTTCACCCAGGTGTGAATGGGTGTCCGGCCATAGGCAGCGAAAGATCTTAGCAGTATGTTGGAGTTTTAGCGCCTTTAAAATGGCAGCTTTCACTGTATGCTTTCCAGGAAGTTGAGATTGTTTCAGAATGCTGTCAGGTCTGCTGGTGTAAAGATATAGATTGTAAAGCTCATATAATTTGCTATTGAGCGGGCATTTGCGCTATACAAATGCTATTTATTACCATTAAAACTCACGAGAGAGCCTGGTATACCCCCTTCTCCACCGCTAACTCTAATTGTCTTGGCCAAAACCATGACTAGCACATCTTACACAGAAATCACATATAATAATATCTTATTATGTTTTGCGTTCTGACATCTTCCACAGTGCATTGTGCATTGTAGATGTGAGCTGATAACCCTTTGTTTTCGTGGGCTTTGTTCAAGTTCTGTATCCGTGAGCACTCGTATCAAAATCTGCTTCGGGAGACGGCTATGCGATTATTGGAAAAACGTTCACATAAACCTCCTTATTAACCAATGACATTTCAGAATCGCTTTAAAGCGAGTAACAATCAAGATCAGGGAAGTGTTTGTTTGTTGTTTTGGATTTTGAAAAAATGGTATTGTTTGATAAAAAGACAAAGAAAAAAAAGGCTGCAAAACTCGACACATTGGTTAACCCCTTCACGACTGTTCCGGGAATGTCTCGATCTTTATCTCGAGCTCTTTCATTGGACCATGAAAAAGAAGCGAATTTTTGTTTTTCATGAATATCATTTTGCATTACAACGCAGTTCTGTCTTTTAGAAGTAAAAAAACACACCTTATTCTCTAAGGCTTTGAGTTTTCTTTTTTTTTTCTTTACGTGGGAGATATACCGATGCCCACATCACCCCCCCCCCCCCCAAAGAAAAAAAACCCTGCTATGTCACAAACCCTATTCCCTGAACATTTAAACCCTTACACCCTCCCTTTTTTTAGCACCCTCCCCATACCCAAGCCGTCATCCCCACCCATTCCACCCACCATCCCATTCCCCCCGCGCAGTTCCATTTATTAGAAGCAGTAAAACACATTGTTCTCTATTGCTTCACATTTTTTTAAATGGGCAATATGCCCAGGACCACATCTCATCCTACCTTCGCTCACCATTGTCCCGTCTCACAAACCCCATACCCCGAATATTCAAACCCTTACACCCTCTTTTTATATCGTTTTCCGCCTCACCATACCCGACCCATCACTCCCCCCATCCCCTTGAATTCCATCTCTCCCACTGTAGTGTATCATAATAAGCGATAAAAGGGTGTCAGTCTGAGAGCAGAAAAGTTACCATTGTCCTATAACCAAACGAAAAAATGTACGATGAATTTATGTGCCTAAAATCTATTATTTAGATTTATGAAACGCAGGAATGCACGTTTAACCCTAGACCTACTGCTTCATCACCCAGTGCTCGGACCTGGCAGCTGGGGGGTTAATTCACCTTTTGATCAGACAGCCGTTCGAGCGAATCACTGCTCCTCCTACCTGAGTATAATATTATGTTTGCTACATGACAGTTCTGATAATATCGTTCATTATTTCATAACGCTGAGATGATCACATCGTAGTGCAGCAGCAGTTAGCGCGTGGGTGCGTTCGCATCCTGTTCGAGGCGTCAGGAACTAGACAGCAGCAGCTCTAAGCTAATATAAAAACACATCGCCGCATTGAGGACACAAAATATGCGAACTCTATTAGCCACTGTAAACGAAACAATTAAAAGGCTTTACTTCCTTTTCTGGTGTGATCAGTTCGTGACTGAAGCAGGACGCTATCTTGCACGGGGTGCGAGCAGGGGTGAGAGTTTCAATTAGCTGAGCCACGCTCCTCTCACCGCCACGCGCGACTCACTCCACCAAACAATGATGGTGACTTGATTTGGGGACGGGATTAGCTTCGACTCACGAAGCGAGAGATTGGCTCTGCTTTCTTTCATTTTGTTTTCTTTTTGTAAAGTGTTTTACGGCGCTCGCAACTGCATAAGGTCATTTGAGCGCGCGGGAAACACCTAATATTTTCAGTTGGTAGGAAATTTTGAATGTTGCCCGGGTGGCGGCCGAAGCCTACTCCTATCGATTTTAGACCACCAAGGGATCTTTAACGTGCGCAACTTGCACACGGGCCCTCCGAGATTTTTCGCCCTTGTCCGAGAAGGCTAGGTTTAGATCTTTCCTACCAGAAGATCAGGGGTGTGGCAGAAAGACAGCAGTAAGGAGGAGCCAAGGAGTAGCAGTAGAAAGGCTGCAGAAAGAGTCAGGAGCCCAGAGGAGGGGGCAAAGGAGGTGAGGGGGTGGGGGCAGAAAGTGGAAATGAAAGCAGACAACAGAAAATTGCTAGAGAGCAGGAAAGAAGGTGAAAGGAGACAATTTTAGAGAAGAAAATTTTTCGGTCGCTACCCGGATTCGAACCCGGGACCTTTGAATGAGAGGCCAACACCTTAACCTCTTAGCCACGAGAGCCCCCTTTTCTTTCATTTCTTTAACGTAGGTGTTTTACACCCCAATCGAAACAATTTAAATGATTTATAAAGCGAGTTTTCGACCATGCTGGTCAAGGACAACTGAGGCTGAGAGGGATACATCATCCCTGAAGAAAGACCGAGATACTCGATAAAAATTCACCCCACCCGTGGAATCGAACTGTTGTCTCCTGCGTGCGTCATAAGCGCCAAACTTCTACACCACAGATTCAGGTTTTCTTTCTTTAAATGTTTCGGAATACTCCCTTTTCCCCCTCCCCACTGATTCAACGTGATCATACGGTGCATGTCTGTAGTTTCTGTTTAGATGTAGAATCTACATGTCGTAAAGGAAACAAACAAAGACAAGTTTAAAAAACACCAAACATAAAAAAGTGGTGATGGAACTAGGGAAAGTAGAGACAATATACGAAAACATTACAGAAGAAAAATGCAAAGTTTGTAGTGTGTGTGCGTAAGTGTGTATGTATGGATGGATCGGTGGATGGACAGATGGATGGATAGAAGGATGGATGGATGGATGGATGAGTATATGTGTATCGTATGTGTAACTGAGAATGTGTGTTTGTGTTTATGGGACAGAACAGACAGACTAACTTACAGAGAGAGAGAGAGAGAGAGAGAGAGAGAGAGAGAGAGAGAGAGAGAGAGAGAGAGAGAGAGAGAGAGTGACAGACAGACCGACAGACAGGGAGACAGGGAGACAGGGGAAGAAGAAGATTTTTAAAAATGGAAGGGAGTGGTGTTGGATTGGAATCTATAATTCTTAGTGCTAGTATCAGTGAATTTGAAGGTGAGAGTGCAAAAAATATAGGATAGGTTTCACTACCATTGATCATAAACTTAGCCGAGGGTTGAACGATATAGCTTGAAATCCAACTCGGGCATATTACACTTTCCTTGAAACACTGTCCTGCCATTTTAAGCAACTAAACTTATCAATTAGAATGACTCACAATGGGTTCAGTTGCATACCAGGGGTTAACAAAGGGAAATTCAAAAGTAAAGCCATTAAAGTTAACTCTTTTGTGAGCTATGATTTAGTCAGATACAAGACTCCTGGAGGGATTATTCAAGTACACCAGGGTGTAATGAGAGAATAAGTGTGCTTTTTGCCTTTTGTGCGAGCGGCTTAATTAAGTTCTTTTCTAACTTCTATAGCTTCCTTTATTCTCCTGGGGTGCTCTGTTAGCTCAGTCTGTATCGTGTTGGACTATGGAACGGATGGCTTTGTTCGAATCCAAGACTCGGTGTTCTAGAACTCGGGTCGTTTTATGGAGCTTATAAGGCTCTTAACCCATTTGGCTCGGTCTCATCGTAGACGGATGTAAAATACGGAGGTCCCACCTCTTCCATTTATAAACCCGTACACTTTCCCATTCTGCCATGATGGGTCTCACATTGACTGATTTGACCTTCCTGGTCTTGTCACAGAAGACTGACTCCTAAATGGTGAAAAAAATTGTGGCAAGGAGAGCATTGTATGTTTCCACAAATGTTCTCCTCCCCAGATATCCACATTATGATTGTTGGCAGCAGTTTTCCCAATATCACGGTTACATTAAGTTCGTTCATGACTTCAGAGTGCAAAGTGAGCAGTGTCCTAAGACTGACTTTGTTTATGTTGAGCACATTTAATTTTTGTTCCTTAAATGTAGATGTCGCCATTTAGAAGGCTGGCTTTAACCCTGCCTGTCAGGGCCAACCCGTGCTGAGGAGGAATACACAATCCCAACAGAAAGTCAAAGATGCTGGATAAAATCCCCCCCCCCCCCCCACGGGAATCGAACTCTGGACCTGTGCATGCGACGGCGAAGTGCCTCGCCGCTACATCACAGACGCTGGTAGTGTGAGTGCAGGTAAGATTTTTTAAAATCACATCGTCGCCCAGCCAGCTACGGTACAGCCCTGTATTAGTTTACAGCTCCTTTCAAGTAAATAGCTATTTGAGAGATGTGAACTCTGACTTCATACAGTTTACCTCCATGGTGACCGAGCATGTGAGGTTTAGGACAAGAAAACATATTGAAAAAATAATATCTAAGAATATTTCGTGATAATATTATTCGAACTAGGCACATCAGTCTCCCTACGCCAAAAAGCGCAAATGGTCTCTCAGTCAGCGATCCCATGTCAGTTACAACATTAACGTTTTGCTTCGTTCCAAATAAAATTGTATTTAAGGTAAATATTAGAAAAATGTTATTGTGAATAACCGTAAATTATGAACTCCCTTCCTTTCCAGAATATCAAATTCTTGCAATTCATATTAACTGTCGTACAGAGAAATCTGTTCCCGCTACAACTTTCCACCACATACCCTCAAGTGAGCGCACACGCGTTCACACGAATGCACCCATCCGCTCCTCTGTACTCACTCACACCCTCTCACTCGTCCTCCCAACTCCCTGCCGTGTACACCTCTTTTCACCCCGCCCCGTCAGTTCCTCATCTCTCACTCTCGACACAGATTTCCCGCGCCTATCTCGTTGAGCGACCCCCGCTTGGCTTTGTAACAAGTCGATGCTACAGATTGAAATCAAGTCGTATTTATCAATGGCCCGACGGATCAAGATGTCAGAACAGCGCGCGCACGCGGGGTGTCCTCGCCTCATGACGTCACATCCTGTCGCAGCAGGCAGAGCCAGCCGTCATAGGCCGCTCCCGTGAGCGCCCGGCCCTCCCTGGAGGCACCGCCCCATCGCCTCGCTCTCTGATTGGTCCGAGGCGTCCGTGAGCCGCGAGCACGTGCTTTGACATTTACCAAAGCTGATTAATTGCGGCTTTGTCGTGTGTAAACTGAATTACTGGAAGAAGCCCAGGAGAAAATCGGAGCGAGCGACACTGGTCAAAACGTGGTTGTCAGGCTGAGCTGGAGGGAGTTCAGTCCTCGGTGTCTTTGAGAGCAGTCATGTCTGGAACAGTATAGGGCTTTTGTCGCAGTTTCGTCTTTCACACAGTCCGCGTCGTGTGTCAGTGTTGTGGTGAGCACGGTTTCAGGAACGTTCTGTAAATGGATATCATTGACACAGATTCTCTCTTCACGTGAATGTGTTCCTTTCCGTGTACCAGGGAACAGGATTTGAAGACAGGGTTCTAGCAAGCCAATTTTGATTTTTAAAGGTTGTTTTACAGACTATGCTTTTTGAAGGCATTCCATTTTAAATAAAGGACTCTTCTTTTTTCAAGGTATCTTGCTGGGATGGTGCAGAAGAATTTAGTTTCGAATCTCCAGTGATGCGTTTTTGAACTTATTTGTTTGAGAGTTTTCAAACCGCCACACTGATCCGACTTGGTTCTGTCAGAAATGAATATCTAAACCAGAGGACCTGCCTCTTAAAATCTTCCAATGTTGAAGAGAAAGATTCTTGAAATCTAACATCCCTGACAGTTTTGTGTGAACGCTCCTCAAAAACGGACTGGTTGACGTCACTTTGAAAGTGGTGTTGAGAATCTGAACTTACTTGAATACATCTCGGGAGCAGTGTCTAATGATAAAACAGAAATCGGCAAAGCATTTTACATCGCTACTCACGTTCTGTGCCGGAGCATGAACAGTCAGGGAGTCTGAGATGGTCGCAGGACGTTTGTAAACGTTCACAAGTGGCTACGTCTGTGCCTTGAGGAGATTGCGCATTCCTGGAGCAGTGAGGACAAGGGAACAGTAGAACAATAATAACGTAAGTTATCTTTGCTGGCACATTCAATGTTCTTACCGTTTTGTTTTGTTGGCTTTTGTTTAGTTCATGAAACGCTATATAAAGTCAGTCGCACCTTATTATCGCATCTTTCTCACATGCATGACATTGGTTATCATTCTTGTCCTATCTACTCTTTCTGTTTGTTTTAATTTATAACGCCCCCCCCCCCCCCTTTCCCCCGCCCCAATGCGATGGCATTCGTTTGCCACAATAACTCTACAATAAACTCTTCCATATTTACACTCATTTATTTAAGTCTCAGTTGAAATGTTTTAGCGTATGCTGATTTGTCTTGATTTCACTGTTGTACTTATGTGTAAATAATCAATGTATGGCTGGGAACATTTTCCTTATGCGGTTGAAGTGGGTTTCTTGTTTATATGAATTTTTTTTCTTATGTGTGTTTGGGGTTTTAATCTCAGTAATTATATTATCGATGTAAAACGCCCAGAGCTTATATTTGTATGGAATAGAACGCTATATAAATGTAATAAAGTTTTATGATTGTCATGACACCCTCGATGTCAAATACTTGTAATCAAAAGTCAGTCGGGTGTAGATTTTCATTGAGATTCTTTCTCTGTCGCAGCACACTGTAAAAACAATTACATGTATATGGATCTGATCCAACGTTTATTTCTCGTCACTCTTTTTTTTTTTACTTGTTTATATTTCATGATGGTTTATTGTCGTTTTCTGTTATACCCCTTTCAGATTATTCAGTATTTTTACAGTACGATTGTTTGAGCTTAGTTTAACCGCTTTCAGCACCATGGGTTTTTCAAACCAAAATATTGATGCGTAAGATTTAATCATGCGCTTACCTTTGGTAACCTAAAGAGCTGTAAAAGCTTTTTAACGGGAGGAGCGACCCTCAGTTTGGCCGATTTTGGGTCAAGCTATGCAAATTGAGATGTTGGCTGATTTTTTAAGAGCAACCATTTCTTTGTCTAAAAATAGTAAGGAGACAATTAAGAATGTCTTTATTCTCGTCGTAAATTGCCTTTGAAAACTTGAGGCTGGGTTAAAATATAGTTACAATAATTGTCGTTCACAAAATGTTTTTTTCTGGATTTTTTCAGTCCCCCTTACTCCTTTCTTAGTTTTCACCCTTTTGACATTAAACTTTCATGAAACATAGATGGCAAAGCTCCCATCAGTGTAGCAGAGAGATATTTACCAACAAAACCCCCACTTTTCCATTGGCAGACGATTACGCAGCCAAAATTTAGAAAAGGTTTATATACATTGAGAAAATTCTCATATTTTTTTTACACTAATTGAAAAAACCCAACTCCCTGTCACTTTCATTGGGACTGGTTCAGGTATACTCTCACTAATTTTGGTCAAATTTGGAGAGTAAATAAGAAAGCCATAGGGATTGGAAATTCAATGTTTATTTAAAAGATGGCAGCCATTTCCATAGCAACCGTTGTAGCTATTCAGAAACAAAAGTACGTATCTAATTATTTTTCTATGCCTAACGTATATGTGTACTTAGACCCGACATAGAAAATGGACCTTGACTGTCGCTCCCCCCGTTAAGTGAGCAACATTTGATATCTTCTCTCTTCGGTTGACATTTTATAAGTCTTGTCCAGGCTGTGAAAAGAATGTAAAAAAACACTCTGATGTCCAAAAATAGTTCTTTTTATAGGCTAACAGATGTATAATAAGAATAAGACTTGGCGTATGTTGAAGAGCATGGCTATGCGTTGTATAATTGTAATTACCATTATTATCAC